AAGGGCTTTTGGAATCTCTGGGTATTTCCTCCGTGACCACGAAAATCCCCGAATTTCGTCCCCCCGTGACTAAGCCGTACCTCTTCCCGTGACCGCGCGCGCTCCCGTAGTATTTCCTCCGTGACCACGAAATTCGTCCTGCCGTGACTCAGAAATTTAGCCAAAATCTGCAGTGCGCGCGCGCGCGCGCACTGCAGTTTTTTTACCGAAGTCCCAGACCCAGATGCTATCAAAACAACCCCAGATGTCACCAAAATGACTTAATTACAGAATAATATTCCGGACTAAAATTCATATTCTTTCCCTGATCAGGCAATTTCTGTGATCACGGAAAGAATATGAATTAGTCCGGAATCTTGTTCTGGAATTACGTCAGTTTGGTGACATCAGGGGTTTTATTCTCTTTCTAACCAACAAAACTCGCAAAATGATTGAGCACATAGGCATGCCACACCTACGTATTCAATAGAGTTATGCATAGGTTTACTCTCCTTCCGTAGTTGGAATGATTTACTGCGTTATTATCGTATCAAGGATAGGATACCGGGATTATGAGGTTAAGGGCTAAGTACTCAGGGTTTCGGGGTCTTGAATTTCAGGTATCAGGCGTGGAGGGTTTGGGTTTGTCTTTTCCAGATTATTTATAGGAACTAGGGGGCAGGGCTTCGGGTATAGGTGATTAGGATTCAGGATACAGGGGGTGAGTAAGCAGTGGCTGCCGACATTGGTGTTGAAGCAGCGAGCGCCGTCGTTTTGACACGCTGCGCGACCCTCGCGATCCTAGATGATTGGCGATGTTGCGCCTTTCAGTATTTGAATGTTACTTTCAAGCCCTTGCGTTCACAGCGGGAAGGGGCCTGCTTGAGGACACGAGCCAGCGTCCAGTAGCATCAGACAAGTAGGTCGTGCTGCAAGCTACGAGTACCTCAGCATCAATACTCAATAGGTCAGTGCATTCAGCAGCAATGTGGCCAGAGAACCAAAAGTTTATGCCAATCAAGCATGGGCTCTGCAGTGACTACTGGTCTACAGTCTTTATCTGTTGGTTGTTAAAACTTTAGGGCCCCAACCAAACTACGCCATGGTATCTCTTAAACCATGAGGGTCTCAGTCCGTATTGGAGTTCCTGGACAGTTCGACTAAGGGGCAAGCAATACAGTGAGGCGTTCAGGATGCGGGGCAACTACTTTGTCTCTACGCTAAACCTGGGCCTAAGTCCAAGCCAAGGTCCTAAAACAAGCGCATTAGGATGACAACATATTGAACCACTGAACAGTTGAAGAGCTGCTTCAAGTCTGGAATGGCTGTGCGCCTTACTTTCTGCCCTGCAATTTGTTGGAGCCACGGCCGCTGGATCAGGTGGTTGTGTGCAATGTTAGTCTACCCCAGCTCTGCGTTCCTTGCAGTGTCAACACTAAACGTACCTTGCCAGAAGCCTGATCCGCGGCCTGCTGCGCAGCTTCTGCCCGTGTAGCCTTGCTGGAGACGGCAAAAATCCGCTGCATCAATCTGGTCTTGCCCTTAGGTTTTGGAGCCGTGGGTTTTGGATCCCATATATCCTAAATTTATTTCAGACCATGTAGGGGCCCGAAATCCAAGGTTACAAACATGCATTAGGGCACATACTGCAAATCTCTAATAGTCTAGTCTACCACTTCCGCTGTTAACATTATCCAACAAGAACAACAACAACAACAAACTTCGACCCAGTAATTTATTTTCCTGCAAGCATACGATGCCAAATGCCAACCAATGGTGTGACGGGTAGTATGCTAATCGAATCAATCCCCTCGAGGACATCCTCTTTAGAGTACGAAGCAGGGCTTCATTCTGGGGACTTCTAATCTAGCCTTGTTGGTTATTTGGTTTGCTTGAGGGGAATGGGGTCCTCAAGGGGTTTGTTAACATAAATGAATTCCTAGGTGACATGCGAACCCAGTAGGATAATTTGTTTAGCGTTTGTTACATACTTGCAGGTGCCCAACGCTTTCCCTGTATTGGAGGGGGTTTCTGCTGAAGACCGCGAAGCATGTCTGGCTGACTACAAGGATTTCGAAGCTCTGGCGGCAGTCGTGCCACCATCTGCATGTCAGTTTAGTTGAAGCTCTTGACAGGAAGTGAGTCCTCAAGTAGAGCAAGGTGCTCTGCTCCTCTTTTGCGACTGAGGTCTCTGATCTCATCGAGGAAGGCGTTCCGCATGATGAGCGTCTGGAGGTGGCTCAGTCGGCGCTCAGGCGCCAGCGGCAAGCCTTGGGAATTGACAGCAAGAAAAGATTCGAGGTGCTCAAGGAGCTTGAAAATAGCCTGACGTCTTTCGGTGACAGCCTGCAGCGATTCATCCCTGAACGAGACCCAAATCCAGAAGGCGTTGGTAGGGAGATTGGCGATCTGTTGCGCAAGCCCGTGCTCACGATTCTTACTGACTCCGAATCACAGCAGAGCCATCCCTGCAATCAAGCATACATCTAGGGAACCATTCACCTACAAAGTTCTCGTCCTTTCCCAGGACGATGATCTACCGCACGCTCTTTTATGGTATGGGAGTGCGTGGCTGCCGCCGCCGAGAGCCCCCGCACATGGACTGGAACCAAGCACAGAATGCAGTGAAGCGCGCAGGTCTCTGGGGAAGCTTTGCCGCGCAACCTTTGCCATTTCATGAGACCCGGCACCACCGCTACCGCCGCCATCCTAATTAACGAGAGCAGCAGCAACAGTGGATGCCGCAGCAACAGCAGCAGCAGCAGCAGCAGCAGCAGTAGGCGCAGGAGCAGGAGCAGGAGCAGCAGCAGCAGGAGGAGCAAGCGCCACGGTGAGCAACAGCAAGATCCCACTCACAATGCCCGGGAAATGGAGGGTTCAGGTTGAATTTAGGGGTTTAGGATTTAAGGTCTAGGATCCCAAACTTAATGACTGAGTCATGAGGAGTCAGGACTCCGGCCATTACTACTAATTACTATTACTAATTACTACTACTACGACTACGACTACGACTACTAATACTACCACTACTACTACTACTACTACTACTACTACTACTGCTATTACTGCCATTGCTGACTCATGCTCCTGCCTGCGAAAGTAAGTCATGTTTCTGTTGTAACGACACACACTACTACAGACATGCTGCAGGAATCGTCGGGGCTACAGCTTTCCTCATGAGCTTCAAACGGAAGCCTTTCGGGACCACACAATGGGCTGAGGAGCTGTCGGCAGCTTTTGAGAGTTACACCAAAGTTCATGGCCCAGAGTCAGAGGAGTGCCTCGACGCATTTACGATTTTTCTTCTGTCACTGACAGAGACGTTGCCTGATTGAAAGCGCTTGCGGTGTGGCAGTAACCCTGCTGAGCCAGCTGGACTAGGGACAATAATAAGGGCGCCTACTGAAACATATGCGCTGCCCTCAACAAGATTTTGCCATCACTTGTAGCTTATGCATCTGAGTTTCCAGCGGGACATTGACAAGTTGTGCCACGATCTCCGGCTCCCCGGAGGATCGGCGCCCGCTGTGGTATGGGAAGCGTTCACGCACTGCGGTCATGTTGGCGGCCTGGATGGCAAGGCCGTTTGGGTGGCAGTACAGCATGGAATGTTGCATTCATCCTCTGCGTAGTCCCTACCTGCACTTATTGGTTTGCCCAGACTTTCGAATTCTTTCTGAGCTATCTGCCTACCTAGACGAGTTGTCATGTAGAGATAGTTGGAGGTCACCCTTCGAAGATGGTTCAACTGGAGCCAGAACTGGAAGGCCTTTACGAAACGCTTCGCGGCGATGAGCAAAGTCTTCCGCTTCAGGCAACGCAGCCAGGGCGGGAGGGAGGGCGCAGCAGCAGCAGCGCCATCTGTGGCCGAGGGCAATCTCGAAAACGAGCAACCGGATGGCCAAGACATGTCCGCAGTCATATCTTCGGAACGAAAGAAGGACTGGATCCTCAAGGATCTTCGGGGTGACTCCAAGTCGGACATGGACGTGATGTGTGCCCTTTTGAGCAACTTCGACATCCAGAACCTGGCCGACATGCCGCCTGGCTAGCCTTGGTGAATGGTAGGCGCTGCCTTCGAGTCCATGGGTTTTTTTTGGGCCGTGACTTGTTGCGGGTTTGGGGTGTAGGGTTTCAAGTTTAGGGTCGAGGTTTGTGGTTCAGGCTGTTAGTTATTGATTTGTGTTTGTCTGGGCTGCTGATGTGCTCACCCAAGAGATCAACGCATTCATCTCTTATGTTTCTGGCTTGCCTAGGATCTACTGGGCAAAGAAGCCTCTGTTTTCAGACCACCTGGAGACCCTGAAGGCTCTTGAGGAAGTGCCAACTGCCGTGGCATGGCAAGCAGGCCGTGCCAATCGAGATTGGGTCTGCAACGTTCGAGAGATGCTGCGACTTTTAAACAACAAGGACATCCTTGAGAGAATCAAAGTCAAGACTGAACAAGACACACCCCGAGCACAGATCTTCTTCCGCTTGGTCGTTTCTTTTGCCGCCGTTCGCGTCTGGGGAATGCTAATCTATGATCTGCCTCCAGAGCAATGGGCTGGCATCTTGAGTGACAACGCAAAGGAAGCTTTCCATGCGCTGGGCAAGGCAAAAGCCACTTGTACAATGGTCCGCAACGCCAGAGCTGCAGCGCAAGATGCAGCACACCCAAAGCGCGAGGCCCCCGTGCTTGAAAGGTCATCCCCTGTATTTGCCCCAAGTTCCCGCGTCTTCCTTGCTGCAGGTTCTCTCAGAATTGCTCCAAGACCTCTGGTATGATCGTTTGGTGCTGGTGGGTGACCTGTGGGATCATGCCACGGCATTTGATTGGACTATGGAGTCTATTCATGCGCACATCTATTTCTTGAGCTCTGGGCTGAGCACAACGAAATTCACGCTCGAGGAGGTGCTATCCTCCATGCAAGACAGAAACAGAGACTACAAGCACAACGTCTGGAGTTTGCATCGCATGTACGCGCACCGTTGCTACGCCCCCCGGCTCATGCAGTCAAAGTTTGGACAAGGTTTCTTGCGCTTGCAGCGTGGAGATCCCCGCGTGTGTGACACTGGAGCTTGCAATGCCTCGTTTTTCGGGTCTGGCGTCCGTGGTTCTATGCCGGCAGTGCTGCTTCAGGGGCATAAGAGGCTTCATGAGTACCAGTCTAACCAAGGACACAGTCCTTTATACTTACAACCCCTCCTAGATGGAGTTAGGTAGGTTACCCCAATGATATGTAGCGCTATAGGCCAAGTTAAAAGTAGCGACTAAGGCATGAACCTCCAAGTACTGCATCCTTGCTTGAGCTCTTGGGATCCCCTTTACAGTTGAAACTCATCATCTTCATGAAAACCGGCGTTCAACAACAGGACCAGCGCTTTGGAAGCCGGGCGGAAACGAGGCTGACTGCCGGGCCGCGTCCAGCCATTTGCTGCTACAGGAGTTCGTGGGTCAAGACTTTCTGGGAGTGTCAGGGGCATGGAAGGCGTGCCTGCTCTTGCAAGGCGAAGTGTACATGCGTCGCGCGGATCAGCGGCTGTTCCTCTCGCTAGGGTACCGAGGCCATGCCGCTGTCGGCTATCAAATAGAACAGAGGAATGATGACCTGTTTTACATTGTGGACAACGCAACGGAGTCTACACTTGCATGCCGTTCCAACTTGCAGCTAATGGTCCAGACACGCCTTGGTGAACCAGGCTCACAAGAAGCTAATGATGAAGAATTTGTTTTCGTTCCGACTGAGGTGCGCCGCCTGCTTGCAGTGAGTTTTTTTTTGGGCTGGTGCTTACTCCGGTTTCATGTGGACTTGGATTGACAGAATAGAGGAAGGATAAGGGGGTTTGTAGCTACCTCAACCTTATTGAAGAAAAATCCCATGTATTAGTCATATTCTGATTCGGAGCCGTCTCTTAAGTTTAGGGGATACTTTGATTAAGGTAGAGACGCCTCCGTACCTCTTTGAATAGGTTATACCTGGCCTTGACCCTCAACCCTGAAATAGTGTGGTGTGTAGCTGCTAGTATTGAACTCGCACTTCTTAAAGATGCATAGGCCTTGGGTATTATTATTTGCAGGGTCTTTGACTTGCATGGTCTGCACTCAAAGGGTCCGCCGGTCTTCGAGAGAGCAGGAACAACCCATCAAATCAGGATTCAAGGTCTATACGGGGTGTAGCGGCTCCGAGTCTGTATTTGGAAGGAATTGAATGCTAGACCTCAAGTTCCCACTCAGCAATGACATGAGGCATGGAAGAATGTAATGTATTCGACCCTCGCCCTCAAAAAGAAGTACTGAGCTAGCTAGGCTCATGGTTAAGAGGGTGGGTGGGGCAGCTTATGATTTGCCACGAGGATAAGAAAATAGCATCAATACATCAGGTCAATTAGTCATAGTCTTTTTGGATAACATTACACTAATACTTTAATTGTTTGTCCGACTATTTGCCCGTACCCCACAGCAACCATGTCATCGTCCATGTTTGAAGGCATACGATAAGCAGGGTATCTACGCCGCAGCCATATAACATCGTCCATCGTGTTGAAGTCATATGATAATCAGAGTTATACATGCCCCAGCCATCATGTCGCCCATGTTCGACAAATCCAGTAACTAGATGTACAGTTAGCGTATCCATTCCTCAGCCATAATACCGTCCATGTTCAAGGGCGTACAAAAAAGCATCAAAGCCCAAGCAAAAAAACGTCCACCATGGTCGAAAGCGTGCGACAACCAGAGCATCCATGCCCAAGCCATACCATCGTCCATGTTCGAGAGCAGCCGACAACTGCAATATATTCATGCCCCAGCCATACAGCGTCGTCCATCATGTTGGAACGCATACACTAACCAGAGCATCCGTCCATGCCCAAGCCATACCAACGTCCATCATGTGCCGAGGCATACGACAACATCGGCATGTATGCGCCAGCCATAAACTTGCCCATTTTCGAGAGCATACTACCGGAGCCATAAGTACACCAAGTCCAGGACATGCACGGTTGCAGCGCAGGAAATTGCCAGCTGGGGCGCGGGCAAATATGCCGGGGGTGTGGGGGGGGGGGGGCTCGACGTGACCGACGTGACATTAGTCAGCGCTAGTCTCATACTGCGGTCAACTCTAGTAACAATGAACGTCCCACATCTCTCGCGAAATCACAAACGTGGAACCTAAGAACCGTGTCTGGCCTCGGCGGCTGCCGGAAGCAGCGCGCTTGGAATTGCACTGAAGCAGACGGGCCCGACTATGTCCTTGATGGCAGGCTTTCTGAGCGTGGGCTTCGCTGATTCGGAGATCAAATCCCGATTGCGTTTGATGTGCTACCCGGCTTGTCAACAGCTCTAAGGCTTTGAAGTATTAGTCGCGCTTAGGGTTGCTGGTCAGTGCCAAGCTAATGAATGATGCTCAGGCATTGCGACAAACACAACCGTGGTCAGATTCAATGAGAAACAACTGGGTCACAAGTCGCGCATCATGTCTCTGCTGGGGAAATTTTTCCCGCAGATGCCTGACAACGAAAAGAAACTTCGGCTGTCATGTATCTTAGACAAGGATGTGGGTACTGAAGCCCCGTATGAGGACATCGTGCGAGAGGCTTTGCACAAGTTGGATCCCTCGGACAAGGTGCCTTTTGCTGGGCTAGCTGACAAGCTAGAGAGTCAACACCGTTCCGCACTTATCATGAAAAGACTGAATGCAGACGACAGAAAGGAGATGGAGGAGGCCACGCCTCAGATGGTTAAAGACCTTCGCCCTCCGGAGTGCCCAGAGTACGCTTACTTGTACTTCCAGCCACAGAACAATGGATTTCTGGCCTCTTGGCCTGACGATGATCCGAACAAGAAGCCGTTGAGGACTTTCAAAGCCATCACTGACAAGGTGACGCCGAAACAAGCTCTTCAACACTGTGTGAACTTCCTTTACAAGCACTACCACAAGGGCGGCGGCGTCCTCCGTCTCAAGGATTAGTAAGTAAGTTTATGTGAGCGGATGCTTGTTGTAGAAAATCAAGTTTTAGCGTTGCATCTGCTGCTGCTGCTGCTGCTGCTGCTGCTGCTACTGCGTCCAAAGCAAACATGAGCCCTGTCTTTTTTTCTTACTTTACCATCCTCGCCCCAACACAAGAACACCTCATGCGCAACCGAGTCTCAAGCCAAGCCGGACTCCTTCCTGGTGGCCGGAGCAGCAGAGGCAGCAGTGGAACTGAAGCGCGAGCGTGAGGCTCGTGCAGCTGCACATGCGGCGCGAGATCTTGACGAGGGGCCTGAGCCAGCCAGTGCTTCAGGACTCAAGCGTGAGGCCAATGACGAGGAGATGGACAGGGAGCTTGATGAGGGAGAGAATCCTGTAGAGCGTCGCAAAAGAAAGGCGGACGGCGGCGAGCTGCCGGCGCGTGAGAAGAAGGACAAGAAGGACAAGAAGCAAAAGAAACTGTGACCCGAAGGCTGCTTGTGGGTGCAGGGCCATTTAGGGCTCGGGGTTTTGGGACGAGGCGAGTTTCATTATGGGGGAGTGGTATTTGGGTTTCAGGG